CTCACCGCAACCTCCGCCTCCTGGGTTCAGGCAATTCTCCTGCCTCAGCCTCCTGAGTAGCTGGGATTACAGGCACGTGCCACCATGCCCAGCTAATGTTTTGTATTTTTAGTAGAGACAGGGTTTCACCACGTTGACCAGGATGGTCTCGATCTCTTGACCTCGTGATCCACCCGCCTCGGCATCCCAAAGTGCTGGGATTACAGGCTTGAGCCACCACGCCCGGCCCTAGAAATTTAAAAATTAAAAAATAAGCTGGCTGTGGTGACACACACATGTAGTCCTAGCTGCTCAGGAGGCTGAGGCAGGAGGGTCTCTTGAGCCCAGGAATTCAAGGCTGCAGTGAGCTATGATTGTGTCACTGCACTGTAGCCTGACTGGGTGAGATCCTATCTTTAAAATACAGTAATAAGTAAAATATGAAGTTAACCATTTCAATGTTATATTGTGATTTTTATTTCTTAGTCTTTTTAAAAAGTAGCAAGGCTGTTTTTAAAATATGAAATTAAGGCTGGGTATGGTAGTTAATGCCTATAATCCCAGCATTTAGGGAGGCTGGTTTGAGGCCAGGAGTTAGAGATTACACTGGCAACACAGTGAGAACCTGTCTCTACAAAAAATGAAAAAATTAGCTGGGAATGGCAGTGTGCACCTGTAGTCCCAGCTATTCAGGAGGCTGAGGTGGGACGATCCCTAAGCCCAAAAGTTTGAGGCTGCAGTGAGCTGTGATTGTGCCACAGCACTCCGGCCTGGCAACAGAGTGAGATCCTGTCTCTTAAAGTGGCCTCTACTTTAAGTCTTCCAGGGACCAGTCATTTGGTTTGCTGTTACAACTTGTCAACAGACAGCTCAAATTGTAGGAAAGTTTTTCCTTAAATCATGCTTGAGGGCCAGGCACAGTGGCTCACGCCTGTAATCCCAGCACTTTGGGAGGCCGAGGCAGGTGGATCACGAGGTCAGGAGTTCAAGACCAGCCTGGCCAAGATAGTGAAACTGCATCTCTTCTAAAAATACAAAAAATTAGCCGGTGTGGTGGCACACGCCTGTAATCCCAGCTACTCAGGAGGCTGAGGCAAAGAGCTGTTTAAATCCGGGAGGCGGAGGTTGCAGAGAGCCAAGGTTGCGCCACTGAATTCCAGCCTGGGCAACAGAGCAAGACTCCGTCTCAAAAAAAATAAAAAAAAATGCTTAAATCTGCCATGCTTAAATCTGTACTTCAATGAACAAATACAATTCTTTCCCATGAAAACACTTCAGTAGCTAAATGCAGGTCTTCTTTCCCCCCAGAGTTCTACTTCTCCCTTATTTTATTCATACTTTCAAAGTTATTTTACCTTTGGAGGTATGGTGAATAAACGCTGTGGTACCATCTTCTAACTGCACTGCTTGACCATCCTCTAGACGCAAACTGTCCCCTGCTCAAGAACAAGGCTTACATTTAGATCTCATGTTTTCTGGCACATTCCAATTAACTCACTTAGCAACCAGAGTCAATAAACCATTAACACATTATAACAATTTATACTTGCTTCATGAGTCTTTGAACATTAAAGTAAATTCAGCAAAGCTTCTCTGAGTCAGTGTTGAAAGGTAAAAAGACATTAAAATATTGGTTTTAGGAATATACACCAGTGTTAAAGAGAGTTTAAAGAAGGGGAAAAATGAAGAAAATGAGAGACGTGTAAGATTCAGCTCAAATAATAGAAGCATTCACTTAGGACTGTTACTCATTTATCTACACAATGCAGTCCATCCAATAACTTCTTTTCCATTATCTTTAAGAGAAAGTCTTGGTTAAGATCCACTTTGTGGCATCTATAATCTCCCTTTACAGAAGGAGGACTTGAGATCAAGACCAAGTTTAGGTAGTAAGAGGGAGCTGCAAGCAGAAAATACTAAATGCTGAGAATCAGAAGGGTTTCCTGTGCTATTATCTTAAATACTTACTACTTTTAGGTATGGGTACATGTTGAACATAGGCAGCGGAACCATCTTCCAACTGAATGACCTGGCCATCTATGAGTTTTCCATCTAGAAAAAAAGATTCAAGACAATAAATTAGCACGAACAAAAATTTTAAACTTTATACAATTTCAAAATGATATCAACTATAAAAACATACACAACTTAAGCTCGTGTTCATCTTGATTCTTCCCTCAAATGTTCTGAGGCAATTCAATAACACATCCAGTGATCCTACAGAAAGCAGAAAATCCTCCCTCAGCCATCCTTCCTCCCCTGCAATTTTCAATTAGATGAGGTCAAGAGGAAGAGTGGCTCATCACAGCAGGCTACATGAGTTGGATTGCTATATACCTTTCAGAGTCACTTAGGATCAGTGACCCTGACAAGGGGGGGAGCTGAAGCTGGGAAGACAGACAGATACCTCAGCGTACATGAGGTCAGTTGTCATTCTCATCCCTGAGGGCTATAAGACCCTTGTTTATGTATACATGTGCTCAGCAGGTTTCCATAAAAACAAAGAGTTTGAGGACTGGGCTGTTTCCTGGAACAAAGCAAACACTAACCAGAGACAATGGGATATAAGCAAAACCAAATGTCCTTTTTTTTTTTTCAGATGGAGTTTCACTCTGGTTGCCCCGGCTGGAGTGCAACTGCACGATGTCGGCTCACCGCAACCTCTGCCTCCCAGGTTCAAGCAACTTCCCTGCCTCAGCCTCCCAAGTAGCTGGGATTACAGGCATGCACCACCATGCCCGGCTAATTTTGTATTTTCAGTAGAGATGGGGTTTCTCCATGTTAGTCAGGCTGGTCTCGAACTCCTGACCTCAGGTGATCCGCCCACCTCATCCTCCCAAAGTGTTGGGATTACAGGCGTGAGCCACGATGCCCAGCCCCAAACGTCTTTACTCCTATACATATTTGGTAAAAATATGAAATAATGACCTGAAGTAAAAAAGCAAGAAAGATCTTACTAGAAAATAGGTCAGAGACACTCCCTGCTCTCCTCTCTCCCACTAATTTTGATACCCCAGGGTATCTTCCAAATATCTCAAAGGACAACCCCAAATTGTTTAAAAAAAAAAAAAAAAAGTGAGTTAAACTGAAATGACTTAAAATTATCATATGCAATACAGCATCTTTAGGAGAGATAGAAAAGGTAGTATAGCTTCTAGGCGCTTCAACTCAGAGGTTATAAATCACTGGTATTAACCAATCAGCCATATGGGAGGCACATACCTTTAGAATTGTGTTGTATGTAAGCAGTAGAACCATCTGCAAGTGTTACTGCTTGCAAGCTTACACCTTCCATATTTTCTAAGTTGTCACCATCTATTACAAAAAAATCAATATTTTCTTTAGACAGCTAGCATATAGACATGATGATTAATTTTTTAAAAAATAAGGATCAGGCAAAAGGTAGATTGCTTAACTTAGACTTAAAATGAGATTTAGCATTTATCAAAAAAAATTGGCTGGGAACAACGGGTCATGCCTGTAATCCCAGCACTTCGAGAGGCTGAGGTAGGTGTATGGCTTGAGCCCAGGAGTTCAAGACCAGCCTGGGCAACATGGTGAAACCCCATCTCTACCAAAAATAAACTAATTAGCTGAGCACAGTGGTGCATGCCTGTAGTCTCAGCTACTCAGAAGGCTGAGGTGAGAGGATCTCTTAAGCCCAGGAGGGTGAGGCTGCAGTAAGCCATGATAGCCGTGATCACAGTACTGCATTCCAGCCTGGGTGACAAAGAGAGACCTTGCCTCAAAAAAAAGAAAAGAAAAGAAAGAAAAACAAAAATTCCCTGCCCTACTGTACCCACACCAAGGTAAAAAATACTCAGAGAAAAGCCTAAATTTATATTGTTTTCTGCTCTATCAGGAACTAGGAAGTTATTTTTTATTTTTTTATTTTTTTGAGACGGAGTTTCACTCTTGTTACCCAGGCTGGAGTGCAGTGGCGCGATCTCGGCTCACCGCAACCTCCGCCTCCTGGGTTCAGGCAATTCTCCTGCCTCAGCCTCCTGAGTAGCTGGGACTACAGACACGCGCCA